TTTTTTTTTTTAAACTGGAAAGTCAGATATACAGAGAGAAAGATCTTCCATTCATCGATTCACTCCCAAAGTGGCCACAGTGGCCAGAGCTGGAGCCAATCTGAAGCCAGGAGCCAGGAGGTTCTTCCGGGTTTTCCACGCAGGTATAGGGTCCCAAGGCTTTGGACCATCCTCAACTGCTTTCCCAGACCGCAAGCAGGGAGCTGGATGGGAAGCAAGGCTGCTGGGACTAGAACTGATGCCCATATGGGAATCTGATGGATGCAAGGTGGAGACTTCAGCCACTAGGCTATTGTGCCAGGCCTTAATTTAGTTGTTTTTTTTTTTTTTTAAGATTTATTCATTGTCATTGGAAAGGTAGATTTACAGAGAGAAGGAGAATTAGAAAGATCTTCTGTCTGTTGGCTCACTTCTCAAGTGGTTGCAGTGGCTGGGGCTGAGCCAATCCAAAGCCGGAGCTAGGAGATTCTTTTGGGTCTCATACGCAGGTGCAGGGTCCCAAGGCTTTGAGCCTCCTCTACTGCTTTCTGAGGCCACAAGCAGGGAGCTGGATGGGGAGTGAAGCAGCCAGGACACAAACTGGTACCCACGTAGTACCCCGTGCTTGCAAGATAAAAATTTAGCCACCGAGCCATTGTACCAGGTCTTTAATTTAGTTTTTAATGTTCATTACAAAGTTGAAGATATCCTGTTGGTATAAGGTTCTTATAAGATTTAAGAACTCATTCCTGACTAAGTCACCCTACTCAGCCTGCCCCCAGCCCCAGCTCTCACACTCCTCAGTGGGTGCTGCAGCCTGATGTGAGTCACTGCCTGCCCGTTGTCTGAAAGTGTCTGTGGGTGTGTCAGCTTGGTTGGGATTCCCTCCAGAACCTTCAAGCAAGCTTGCCCCAGGCTTAGCTCTTACAAGCAGTGGGAGGTATTGCAGTTTGGCCCAGCCCACACCCAGACCCAGCAGGTCTGCACAGCAGGGGGTGCTGTGTCCTGGCCCACCATCAATATTATTTTAAAAATAATTTAAATTTTTCCTGCGATAAATTTTGGTAGATGCAGGGGTTCATCTCTGCCCTTCCCCTTCATCCCTCCTTGTTTTTCCTTCCTGCCTTTCTCCTCCATATTATTATTATAGTATAGTCCCTTAGTGCCAGGTGTGAGTTTAACTTTCTGACATTAAAATGTATCATGATATGATAAATATTAACGAAGGTAGAAAACCTAGTCTTGAAACATAGAGGCATATTTGTAAGGTTCATTGGGAGTCCTCCTTTTATTCAAGAGTAGAGCCACATAATGTTTGGTACCTTTCCTTCTTGATATGCTAATTTCCCCTGAACAGTTCATGCGTATTAATATATAGCTATATGCACATATATATGTTTGTTTACATGTATCTATAATATATATGTTGTACTCTGCATGTTAGCTGTCTTATAAAGAGTTACTGTTTTTAGGGGCAGCTCAGTGCTTCAGCAGGTTAGGTTGCCACCTGTGGTGCCATGTCTCATAGTGGCGTGCTGGCTTGGGTCCCAGCTGCTCTGTATCTGATCCAGCTGCTGCCAGTGAACCTGGAAAACAGCAGATCGCTCAGACACTTGAGCCTCTGCCACTCATGTGGGGACTTTGAGATGGAATTCCTGGCTTTTGACTTGTGCCTGGTCCATCCGTGGCCGTGGAGGCCTTTTGGGAATGAACCAACAGATGTAAGATCTCTCTTTTTCTCAGTTACTCTGTTTTCCAGGTAAATAGATAAATCTTCTAAAAAGACATATTGGGCCTGACGCAATGGCTCAATGGCTACATCCTCACCTTACAAATGCTGGAATCCCATATGGCCACAGGTTTGTGTCCTGGCTGCTTTATTTCTTGTCCAGTTCTCTGCTTGTGGCCTGGGAGAGAAGCGGAGATAAGCTCAAACCTTTGGGCCCTTGCACATACCTGGGACACCTTGAGGAAGCTCCTGGCTCCTGGCTTCAGCCTTTATGACCATTTGGGAAGTGAACCAGTGGATGGAAGATCTTTCTCCTTCTCTCCATAAATCTGATCTGCCTTTCCAATAAATACATCTTAAAAGTAAAAACTATGTATTAATTAAAATGTTTCTAATTAACTTAAGAGGCAGAGGGACATAGAGAAAGGTATCTTCCATTTAACGATTCACTCTGCAAATGCTGGCAGCAGCTAAGGTGGGCCAGGCTGAGCTTGATCTGGATTTCCCAGGGGGCAGGAACCCAAGTACTTGAACCCTCACTGCTGCTTCCCAGGTGCACGTTAGCAGGAAAGAGAAATCTGGAGTAGAGCTGGGACTGCAGTCCCAAGTGCCAAAGACCTGTATTTTAAGAATTATTTTCAAAAATATTTATTTATTGAAAAGGCAGATTTACAAAGAGAGGGAGAAATCTTCCATCCACTGGTTCCTTCCCAAATGGTCCAATAGCTAGAGCTGGGCTGATCTGAATCTGGGATCTAGTGGTTTCTTTCAGATCTTCCACGTGGGTTCAGGGGCCCCAAGTGTTTGGGTCATTCTCTGCTGCTTTCTCATTAACAGAGAGCCAGATGGAAAGTAGAGTAGGTGGGACTTGAACTGGCACTTATGTTGGATACCAGCAGCTTTACCTGCTACAATACAACACTGCCCATTTAAGAATTATTTTATTTTTTAAACTGAAAAATATTTATTTTTTAATTCATTTATTTAATTGGAAAGACAGATTTACACAGAGAGAAGGAGAGACAGAGAAGAAGGGATAGCAAGAAAATCCTCTGTCTACTGGTTCATTCCCCAGTTAGCCTCAACAGCCAGAGCTGAGTCCATTCAAATCAGGAACCAGGAGCATCTTCTGGGTCTCTGGCGTGTGTGCACGGTCCCAAGGCTTTGAGCCATCCTCTACTGCTTTCTCAGACCACAAGCAGGGAGATGGATGGGAAATAGAGCAGCCGGGACATGAAAGGGCACCCATATGGGATTCTGGCACATGCAAGGTGAGGATTTAAGAATTATTGAAGTGACAGTGTCACCTAGTTTAAAGTTACCACCAAATTCAGGAAACTACTGCTGATGTAGCAAATAGCCTCCACGTGGCTGTGCTGATGGTCAGACACCCTTGTCCCCACTCTGAGGGCCTTTGTTGCTTCCTCACCACCTCCAGACCCCAAGTATGCCTTGGCCAGCGAGGATCATCTCTCTACCCCCTGCATCCCTGCAGACCCAGAGTGGAACTGAGACTCTGCTGTCGCTGACAGCCCTGACCCTCCTGCCAACTGTCTCCAGGTGTCACGGGTCATTAAGTGACAGAGAGAACCCTGCTGTGACATGCCATGTGGATATGGCCACCGTGGGTCCAGACATGGGGTACCAACAGGGCTTTCTGTTGCTCCTGATCATGGAGTCGGTGCCCTAAGGTAGGATGCACAGGGCTGAAGAGTGACTTGGTGGGGAGGAGCCTGAGCAGGTGGTTGGTGTGTGGTATGTGTACAGACAGGCCTGGCTCCAAGGCCCCTGTAACTACTGCAGTCACTGCAGATGTCTGTCAGTGTCCCTGAGACCTGGTGACCTGACCAGAGTTGAGCAGTGTGACAGTCCTGTCCCAGCGTGCCTTTCCTGGGGTGGGTGTGGCCTACGCGGGGAGGCCTGGCAGCCTGCTCCCCTCTGTTCCTGTGGCCATGGCCCTCAGCTGCCCTGTGCTCCTTCAGTCACCCCTCGCCACTCAGGGCCTCTGCTGAGTGTGGCTACTGCACTCTGTAGGGACACAGCTGTCTAGAATAACAGCCTGACTTCTTAACTGGGGCCCTACCACCAGTCTCTAGCTCCTTCCTAGAACTGATTAAAACTGTAATTTATTTTTATACTTTTTGAAAGGCAAAGAGAGCAGATGAGTTGAGTGAGCGAGTGCTGTCCTCCACATGCTGGTTCACTTGCCTGATGCTTCTGGGCCACGCCAAAGCTAGAATTCCATCTGAGTCTCCCATGGGGGTGACATATACTTGAGTCATCATCTGCTACCTCCTAGAGTGTCCCCAGAGAAGGAAGCTGGATCGTAAGTGGAATGCCTGGGAACAGAACCAGGCACCCTGATGTAGCCGGCAGACACCCCAAGGTGCGGCTTAACCACTGTGCTATATGCCTTCCCTGGAGCAGTAACTCTTGCCACCTCAGGGTTGGGACTCACAAGCCCTGGGCACCAGAGCTCTGTTCTGCCATGAAGTCTCTTCCCACCAGGATGCCTTTCTTTGGTACAGGATCAACAAGGAGGGACCAAGTCTCAAGTGTACCCACGCAACTTCTCTTCCTCCTGCCCTTATCTTGCCCTCATTGGGTATCATCTTCCGGCTCATTGGCAAGGCTAAAGCTGCCTTACGCGGTAGCAGGGAGAACGTGAGCCTCTGGCGTGAACTTGGAGGAATTCACTCATCTAAACTGCCCAGCCCTTGGGGTTGCCTTGCCAGCTCCTGTAGTAATGGGGCACCTGCCTTGTGATCCCTTTGAGGTTGTCAGCCCTGGGCAGCGTGACCCTATTTTCACAGATGACTTCTTGGAAAGGGAGCCTGAGGCAGGGTTCTGCATCCCCCCACCTCTCCCCAGGGGACATTACTCATCTTCAGAGCTTTCCTTGGTGGTTATGCATGTCTCTGTCTTTAAGATTCATGTCTACCCTTCCCCCAGTCCTGGGCTTTTCAGCTAGGGAGCCCAGGGCTGAGAAGAAAAGATGCCCCACACCCTTGCGCACGTGCCAGCAAAGTGACGCAATCCTGTGTGACCCAGAGCGTGCTGTCCCAGCCCAGGGGAGTCGGCAAGCTGGGAACACTTATTGATTGGGGCCAACATGTCATGTTGGAGTCTTCCCACACAGACGCCCGGCAGGCAGGCGTGTGCGTGGGTTCCTGGGAGTGGGAGCTGCCACAGTGCTGGGGGCAGGGGACACAAGGGGAGAAGAAGAGGTGAGGGTCCCCGATGTCTCCCAAAGTGGAGGGTGGGCCTGCGCGGCATGGAGGAGCTGAGCAGAGAAGCTGAACAGACTCGATTTTATTGTGTGTTGTACTTTCTCGGTGAGATGTCATAAGCTGTGGTGGCACTACACTGGGATGGGGTGGGCAGAGCAGTGGATTGGGGCTGGGTGCTGGGTGCTAGGGGAGCAGCCATCTGCCCAGGGAGGTCACAGTGTACTCCACAGCTCACCTCAGGGTCCTGATGGGGAGGGGGCTGTCTGAAGGGTTCAAACCCCAGGTGGCAGGGGCTGGCACTGGTGGATGAGGGAGACCTCCTCCTGCCATGGACACTGGGGCCACACCTGCCTGACTTGGTGGCTCCATGTCTGAGTTCTGGAAGCTTCTGGGAGCTTGGGGACAGCTGAAGAGGAAGCTTACTTTCTTCTGCTACCCTATTAACTGCTGGCCCAGGCAGGAAGGGACATGGGATCTTGCTTTGTTGCATCTGTAGGTGAGGGCAACAATGAAACCTCTGACCACTTTATTTGGCCTGTATCTTCATGGTCACAGGTGCAGTCCTTGGCCCAAGGTCCCTGGGAGGACTTGTGCCATGGTGCTAGCAAGGCTTATTTTTGGTGTGGCTGAGATGGCTCCTGGAGGCATATGATGGGCACCACTATGCCCCACTAGGGGGTGCCCCTGCCTCTGGGGTCTTGAGTGCTCTCCCTGCCGCTGTACAGGGGTCTTGGCCAGAGCATGGTTGTGCTAGGCCCAGGCCCACTGCTTTTCCTCTTCCTCCAGATTTCTCCTAACTTCTGCTCCAGCTGGAGCCCTCTCTATACCCACTGCTCCTCCTACGCTCTCACTCTCCATTGGCTCCCCCAGCCTGGCTTCCCTTGTTACAAGTGCCAAAAGGACAGAAAAGCTAAACCCTAAGCCAACCAGACAGAAGCAGCTTTTGAACAAAGATGGCGAGACAGTTGGCAGCGTGCGTGCGGGCTGAAGAGGGGGGAGGATGATGGCATGCAGCACTGGGGTTCCTTATAAAGGGTGGGATCCCCATTTCTTCCCCAGCTGTGCCAGGGGTGGGGGTTGGCAGACTCAGAGAAGCAGGATCACTGCACTGGGCCTTGTGGCTTCCTGTATCCTCCGTGGACCCAACCAGTCACAGGGAAATGAAATCCGTGGCCTGGAGCAGCGACAACGAGAGCAGGAGCAGCAGTAGCCAGGAGGTGTTCTGAGCCAGTAGGTTGATGCCCTCGCACTTGACCAGCTTGTCTGTGGAGAGGGAACAGGGTGAGTGAGGGGAGGGACCAGGACTCCCTCTGGGAGGCAGAAGACACCATAGTGTCTCAGCTGCAGCCAGGACCAACCTGGTCTGACAGAGCCAACCACCTTTTCCATTACAGGAGCCCCTGAACACATAGCATGTTGGGAAAAGCCTGTTAATCTGCATCATAGGACCAGGGGCGAGAGAGCTGATGTTGTCCCTGCACCCCTCTGCCTGCTTCTTTGTCCCTCTAACCCACTCACACTGCAGGCCCTAACATGGTCCCCATCCCACCTGGCCTACTGGTGGTCCCAGCTCACTTGGCCCTGAGGGAGGGGAGGTGGTAGGGGTGGTGAGGAAGCAAAGGGGAGGTGGGACTCACCTCGGAACACAGAGACATTTTGGTGGGAACTCTGGGTGGGCTGGCCTGAGAGGCGGAGCTCGCAGGTGTAGGTGCCCTCGTCCTTGCTGGTGAAGTTGGCTAGGTAGAGGACCTTGATGTTGTACCGGCTGGTGAAGTTGGTGCGGGAACGGTATGAGTACTCAGGCACGCCCCAGGTGCCATGCAGCACGTGCTTCTTTTTCTCCCGGGTCAGGCTGAATTCATGCTGGATAGGCACCTGGGTAGAGTTCTCATGGCGACAATCCAGCCGGAGGCTCTGGTCTACCAGGCATGCTGTCAGGCTGGTTACCTTCTGCCCTCGGGATACCTGCAGGACTGGCACCAGCAGCGACCTCTGAATTGAGTGTAGATGCTGGGAGCAGGGGCCCATTTCTCCCACATGAAGAAGAGAGGGGTCTGGCCAGGAAGGGTCCCAGAATTTCTAGGGGCTTGTCTGATCCCCACCCCATCCCTAGCAGATCCCAGCTCCCTGGCTCTGTGGTAAGCCCTGGGACCCATCAACAGGATGTGGCAAGGACAGGAGATGCTTGGGCTCCTGGGTTCCCTAGCTTGCTAGGGTGGGGCAGGACTCAGCAGGTGGTATTTCCTAACCCTCCTGGGAGCAGTCAGGTCAGCTGGCTTGATGAGCCCACTTGAGATGAACAAAGGCCCTTTTCTCTCCCCTCTTTTCACCCCTTCCCCACCAATCACTCCTTCCTCTGAGACCCTGAGCTCTCTGAGGGATAGGTCACCAGGAGGCCGGCCAGGCCAGTCCCACCCCTTGCCCAATACCTGCCAGCAGTAGCGCAATGCCAATGGCTGGGTTCATGGTGCGAAGAGCTCCGCTCAGGATCTGCGCGTGGGAGGAGATGGGACTCAGCTGACAGGTGGGAGAAGGGTGCACAGCGATAGGGTGCTTCCTGGGGGAGTCATCGCGGACACATAAGCCCCTCTCTCCTCCTGCCCTTTTCCTTCATTCCCCACTTATTTTGGAAGCCAACCTCTGCCTTGGCCCTTTTCCGCTTGAGGGGCTGAGGGAAGAGGGGTGCACGTCTTGCGTGGCCGGGTTGGAGCTGAGGCTCACAGCCAGCTGCTCTCAGACGCCTTTGTCTTTCCCACTCTCCCTCTCTGCAGGAAAGACGTCTCTGGGAGATGGCATGCAGCATTTGCTGTCTCAGCCACGTTTAATGTATTGAGGTTCATGCCGTGGTGCAGCTGAGTCTCAGAATTCTTGACTAGAAACGCCCTGACAGGGACTTTCTGTTGCTTATGCAGAAGAAAACTCCCCAGATGCCTAGAATGGATCCTGACATAGAACAGATGCTCAAGGGAGAGTTACTGAATGAGTGAATGAAACCTAGATGTCCAAAGGGTTAAGAAAAATGGCATATCTGGCAAGGATCAGCTCATGTTGGTGACTAGGGCTCATGTCAGGGAGATGGGTGGCCCTACACTTGTACTCAATGAAGGTGCCATGGAATGTGCATGGTGAAAGACCGTGGTGCCCTCCGATTGCAAATCAACCAAGGCTTTCCCAGATTCTGGAGCTACACGTCTCAGTTGGCCTTGGGCTCCAGCAGCCTCCCTGCCCAGCGTCCCACTCTTTCTGCAGCCTGGGGCTGGACAGATATCCTGGCCAGGCCACATGGAACAGGTAGCCCAGCCAAGGCTCTGCAGAGTGCTCTAGGCAGATCTTGGATGTGCTGGCTCAGGAGGCAGGGCGCGGCACTTGGGGAATCCAGAGTCCCTGGCACTCAATGCTTGGGCTGTGGGGCTAGGATCCTGGGAGGGGAGCGGCATGTGAAGGTGTTCTTATGGGGGATCAGCTTGTGGTTTGATGAGAGGACCCTGGGTTAGTCGCCAGGGGTTCAGATTTGTGATCTAGGAGGCGCAAGGGGAGGGGCAGCTAGGGCCAGAAGGGAAATGAAGGAGGACAAGGCTGGAGGGGGATGGAGAGCGCTTGGGAAGGGCGGGGAGCGGCTTGGGGGCGCGTTCAGCATGCGACCCTCGCAGCTCCGGGACCCCATGGCTCCGTGCCAGCGGAGCTCTGCCCTCTCCCCTAGTCCCGTGATTTCCTATCCGTGTCCCACTCCTCCCGTTCCCAAGAGAGGTCCCTTCCCTCTCTCATCCTTCTTGAGTTCTCCCCTCCCCCGCCGGCTTGCCTGTCACCCAGTCCCCGCCCGCGGCACTGCGGTTTCCTTTCCTCGAGTGCCCCACACCCAGTCGTGGCCAGGTCGCGGCGTGGACGCTCCCTGAAACTGGCCATCCCCTATCTGCTGCTCCGCAGGTCGCTCCCCACTTCCCCACCTTTGCCGGCTGGGTGTGCGGGGACATCTACGTGGGGAAAACCCAAGGCTGTCCTTGGCGCCCTTCTCCAGCAAGCGTCTTCCAACGCACCAGCACCAGACAAACGTCCCCCTCTCCCCCGCCCCCGCTGCTCCACTCCAGGACGAAACGCAGGGTGCGGCCGAGTCCCCACGGTTGGCTCACCTCCTTCGCCCTTGCGTGGGAAGAAGGTCCCTTCCCCCGCCCCGGCTCTGCACCGCTCTTTCTTGGGGTGCCCTGGGGCTGTTGCAGAGAGCTCTGGGCCTCATAGGGGATTGCAGAAGCGCCTAGAAGCCATCCCTGCACCCCGGGGTCTCATCCTGGCTCCCGCTCCCACCTGGGTTGGGTCCCGCGCTGCTGCAACCTCCTCCGGATGCGCCGCCGCCTCCAATTGCTGCACCGGTTCGGTGGCCCGCAGTTTTCACCGCGGGTGGGGGAAAAGTGGGTGGAGAAGGCTGGGGGGACAGCCAATCAGAGGCCAAGGGGGGGAGGTATGGTTAGGGTAGGGTGGCATGCAGAAAGGTGGAGGAGGAGGCTATGGTGTGGGTGAGTGGTGAGCAGCCCCAGGAGGGGGCCTCAGGCCAGGGGCCGGACTGACCAGGCATACACCTACCCTGGGCTCTGGGTGTGGTCGCCCAGGGCACCCTGGCTTCCTCTCCAAGGCAGAAGCGAAAGCCACCCCTTTCGGCTGTTCCCCTTTCTTTTAACCGAGTATTCACAAGTTCCTAGGAAGCCTTAGGAAGGCAGGATGAGACTCCTTGGCAGCTCCAGTGCTGGCCTTGGAATGTTCTGAAGGCAGTGACTGGGTGTTTTTCCATATGGGAGTAACCCTCTCTCTGTAAGCAAGACAGGCGCTGCACCCACTGCCTCCTAAGTTCCCTCATCTACCCATGGGGGATTGTAGGACTCTCCTCCTCCACCCCTAGGGTTAGCCTCCACTCCTTAGCTTTCCAGGCTGGCCCCTCCCTGCCTAGACAGCTAGAAGGTTCTGCTGGGTTTTGGTGCACAAGAGCCCACAACACCCACCGTCCCCACCCTATCCACTGTCTGGTAAGTAAGGGGTGGGGAGTGAGGCCAAAATGCCATGAACCACTACCCTCTGCTGTGAACAGCAGGTGAGAGAGGAGACAGTATGACTCTGGGGTCCACCCATCAGAAAAGAATAGGTCAAGTACTGGCTTCTGACTCCCCGACCCCCCATTGATTTGGCATCACCGGAAGCCCTGGGGTCTCCTTTTTTAAACAGCCAGTGCTGATGACTTCCTCAAAGCCCCACCTCTGGTATGATGCTATGAATTCTGCCTGGTACCTCCGTAGGCTGTCGCTGCCTCCCAAGCCTGTCCCTTCTGCAGTCAGCTGTGATGCCTTGGCTGCAGTTTCCAGCATGGTGATGGTAATGGCTATGTTGGAGGACATCCCTGGGCTTGCAGTGGGAGTTTTCTTTCCCTCTCTTTGATGGAGGCTCAGGCAGTCTTCCCTGTACTTAGTGATGGCAAAGTGTGGTGCCTGGTTGGTCAAGACAAATAGGGGATTCATGCTAGTTAACTGCACAAGCTTGAGGGGTAGGGTAGGGGGAGGAGGGTTAGGTAGGGGGAGCATTAATGAAGCCTGCAGCTGTCTCATCCTGCCTGCGAGCTCCTTCCTGGAGTCCTGTTCTCTGACTGGGTCTGTGCCATGTCCTAGTGACCCAGGGTCTGGGGGGACTGTCCCTCTTGCTGGATGAGCTAGCCTGGCTTCTCATTATTACTAGGCCCTGGCTCCTGGCCTCTGACTTGCACCACCTGATCTTTCCTCTTCTGCTTCCTGTTGCATTTGAGACACACTGGCTTTCCCTTCCATCACCCGTGGCAGGTGTTCCTTCCTGCTTAACAGTTGTCTCATTCCCAGTCTGAGAATTTTCCAACACGGTTGCTTTATACATACACTCTCCCTCCTCACACACACACAGATGAGGGGCTGGTGAAGACTGTTGCAGGATGCAGGGACCCAGAAGCCTCTTGTGCTTGCCATGGCTCTGGATGCCTCATGTCTCTGGGGTCCTGTAGCTGAGGGCTGTTGGCTAGAAGGCCTAGCTGTGCTATTTCCACGAGGTTCCGAGGACCTGGCCTACTTTCTTGGTCCCCAAACACCTTGTCTTCAGGTTAGGGAGGGGAATGTGGGCTGCAGGGATTGTGGTGAATGTGTTTCGGCTAAAGCAGCATCTCCAGTTAGATAAGATGACCTGAGCTTGGCTGGGGCACAGGGTGGAGACAGGGAGGAGACTTAAAAGCTCCACTTGTGAGTGGATTGGATGAGTGAGGAGAACGGGAAGGAGCATAGCCAAGACGTGATTTCCTGGCAGCCCATGGCTGCTCATTAGCCCGTCAACCTCTCTGCTCTCACCTCTGTCTGTTGTCCCAGTTAGAGGTATATTACAGGAGGCTAAGGACTGCTAAAAAGATGTATTTCTTTTTTTTAAGATTTATTTATTTTTTTGTTGCAAAGACAAATATACAAAGAGGAAGATTCTCTGTTCGATGATTCACTCCCCAAGTGAGTGCAATGGCCAGGAGCCAGGAGCCAGGAACCTCCTCCAGGCCTCCCACACGGGTGCAGGGTCCCAAGGCCTTGGGCCATCCTCGACTACCTTCCCAGGCCACAAGCAGGGAGCTGGATGGGAAATGAGGCTGTCGGGATTAGAAGTGGCGCCCATATGGGATCCTGGTGCCTTCAAGGCAAGGACTTGAGCCGCTAGGCCACGCCGCCGGGTCCAAAAAGATGTATTTCTTTTGGATTGTCTGGCACTGTCAATTATTCATTCATCATAGTTTTTGTTTTCATCAGATTTTCTTTCTAGAATCACAGAGGTGGTAGAAGCTGGTTTTATGGCTGAGTCCTGAAACCAAGAACAGCAGTGACTTGTCAGAGGTTGACCAGCTTGGAGCAGAGCTAAAACTGGCTGTGTCTTGGATCTCATGACTCCCTGCACAGTGCTGTCCAGAGTTCTTAGTGTTGCTGGTTCCTGATGAAAGAACAGGGATAGAGCTAGAATGGGCATGGGCCAGTCAGGCTAGACTGCAGTTTACCAGCTGATGTGTGCTAGGACTGGAGGCCAGCCATATCAGTTTGGGTAGCAGCATTCCCTCCCCTCACTCCCCTTCCTCCTGCCCAGCAAATGCATGGTCTGTTGCTGGGAGCACCTGGTAGGGGAACTTGGGGAACTCACCCTGCTAGGTTGCTGCTCCCTCTTGTGATCAGAGTACCGGGACTGGGAGCAGGCTAAGCTAGACTGGGCTACAGCATCCGTTGGCATATGTGAGAGATGGGTCTGGAGGCAAGCTAGGCAGGGTCAGTCCACAACACACACTGGCATGAGTGAGAGCCAGGATGGGGTGCAGGTCAGACCCTGTTGGACACAATACCCATCAGTTCACATAAAGGCTGGGATGTAGGCCAGGACAGGCTAGGCTTCTGTCCTTGCTGGTGAGAGCTGGGACTCAGGGTAAGCCAGGCTTTTGTTCTTGCTGGCAAATGTCAAGACTGGGGGTGTACCATCTCAGACTGGAGCAACAAAACCAACACCTTCTCAGAACTATCAAAACCACTCCAGTAACATCCTTGGAACACTCTTCCCCACATTGGGGTCTCTAAGGCTTCATCAAAGGGTCACTCCCTATCCCCAGGTGCTGATGTAGGATGAAAAGGAGGCCCTCTCCTCCCTCTCCTTTGTGGACAAAGGAGAAAAAAAAAAGTGAAACATTTGTCCCACCCACCATCCCCAGTACCTAAACCTCCTCATCCTAACCAGAGGCCCATATAGGTGTGCATTTCTTTTGACTATGTAAACAATATTAAAAATAAAATAAACATAAAAATAAGAAAAGAAAGACCCGGGACAGTTATGGGCCCTCAGGGCATAGCTGCCCTGTTGCCTCCTTGTTGGGGCACAGCCCAGTTGATGAGGGAGAGATACTTGCTCACTGGGGCAGTGGAACTGGCTAGACTCAGGACATGCATTTCTGCACAGGTGAGATGGGCAGTGGTTCATTAGTCACCTGGACCCAGAGCCTGGAGGAAGACACCACACTCCATGAACTGTGATGCAAGCAACAAGACTGCAGAAGGCACACTATAGGCCAGTGTGATTGTCCAGTTGATAAGTCTGTAGGCTGGCAGGTGCCTGAAGTCCCCCACCTGGGTGTAAGCAGCAGTTGTGTCTGGTCCCCTTGTAAAAGAAGGTTGTTTGTCAACGTGGGGACTTGAACATCCCCCTCCCTGATCTTACCAGACATCAAGGTGGCATATAATATTGAGCCCAAGCTGTGGACTAATTGAGATCATGCCTACACTTTTTTTTAAATAAAATATTTATTTTTACTTGAAAAGCATACAGATAGAGAAGGACATATACATATGGATGTTCTATCCACTGCTTCACTTCCCAAAAGACTGCAGTGGCTGGAGCTGAGCCAATCTATAGTCAGGAACCAGGCTTCTTTTGAGTCTCCTGCATGGGCCTAAGCTCTTGGGCCATCCTCTGCTACCTTTTCAGGTGCATTAGCAGGCTGGCTGACTCAGAAATGGAGCTGCTGGGGCTTGAGCTGGCACTGTGATATGGGATAACAGTATTGCCAGTGGCAGTTTAACCTGATGTACAACACTGGTCCCCTATACCTGTACTTCTTACAGCCCATTCTAAGGCTATGTTTTTCCACTTTTTAAAAATGGTAGAGGTAGATGATACGCCTGCATATATGTTTATATGTCCATTTGTGACAAAGAGAGAGCACTGGCAGCTTCTTGTTGATTCTCAGACTTCTTTGGAAATGTGACTAATCCATGAATTTAAAAAAAAAAAAAAAACTTGGAACCACTGCTCTCTACTCTGCTGCCTCTCCCACTCTCCGTATGAGGCCAAATCCCTGAGTGAGGTCAGTTCCCCTGTAGACCTGCAGGATTGGTGGGAGCATAGAACAAAAACAGCACGAAGATGATCTAATGCGGGGCAGGGGTTGGGAGGAGAAAGCACCTCTGGGGGTGGAATTTAATCTTCAACAGCTGTTTATTCCCAAACTGTAGACATGAGTGCTCCTCAGAGAAGTAAGAGGTATTATTGGCTCCAACCCCATTCCAGGCCCAGAGCTGGACCTTAGCAATACCAATGAACACCAAAGACCAATAAAACATGATCTCTGCCTTCAGGGTCTTTTCCAATGGGAGAGAGAGGAATGGGACCCATTTGACAGAGAAGGCTTCTTGCAGGAGTGAAGCATGAATGGAGGCCTTAAAGATGAATGAGTGTTGACCACGGGTGGAAAGTTGTTATAAGAATAATCTCTAGCAGGGGCTAGAGAAGGGTTTGCATGTTGGGCTTGCCTTCATGGAATTTACTTGCCATGTGAGGAAGTTTGAGCTAGCCGTGTGGAAGACTGAGATGCCCCAGTTTGCATCAGTCACCCCCTGGAACAGCCGAGTTATCAGCTGACCTGCCCTGGAACCAGAAATACAAGTGTAATCCCAGCTGACACCACACGGAGCAGCAGTGAGCCACCAGATGAACCCATGAAGTCA